CCGATCCTCGCTGCTTTGATATCTTCATCAGTTCTGTCCTCATGTAGTTGAAACGATGCTTCCCAGGTAGGTAAAAGAGGTTGTTTCTTTCATGTTCCTCTCATTTATGCTGGCTGATTGTTCTCTGTTGTTGTTGTTGCTGTTGGTGGTGTTTACCAGGAATTTTCATCACCTCTGTTTTGTCTATGTTCATCTGAAGGAAGTCCTATCTTTGATGCTTCTTCTATCGCCAACTTGTTGCTTTTCGCTTGCATATCTTCCAGTTTGTGGGAAATCAGACATATATCATCGGCGAAGTCCAGATCCTCCAAGTTTTTTGTGCGAGTTCATTTTATGCCTGTTTCCTCATTGCCCGTTGTTTGTCGCATTATCCAGTCCATGGCAATCAGGAAAATCATTGGTGATAGTAGGCACACTAGTTTGCTCAATCCTTCTACTTCTTCTTCTTTGTATCTGTGAGATTTGTGTGACCATTGAAAGTGGCGGAACGCCTGAAGTGGTTGGCTGGCTAACTGTCTTTGCCCATTAGTGTTCACTTTCTAACTCTCTCTCTCTCTCTCGTTGATTGGTATAATATTTATTGATAAGATTGAGGCAAGGTAGGTGTAGGATGTTTAGTAAAGAGGGGCGGGACGTCAATCGATGAGATTGTGAAGCAAGAGCGATTGACATGGATAGGACACGTCGAGGAATATTAGCCAACATCGGATTTCTCCATTATAGATAAGATTTTTTTTGTTAAAGTTTCACAGTGTTGTTATACAGTAATATTAACTGATGACCGCGTTTCGAGCACTAAATAGTGTTATCACTAAAATACAATCAGATGGGAAATAAGACGAGTGTTTTTATAGTCAAAATAAGTAACTTGTTACAATGTTATGATGTACGTGAATTGAAATAGAATTTTAAGATTATTTATTATCCTCCTGTGATTTGACTGACTGACTGGTGGTTATAATATCTTCCATGCATATCTCTGGTATTTGCATTGAGTCATTTCTGTCGCAGGACATAGTAATCAATCTCTCTCGCTTTCCACCTACATAGATTACTTCTTAGAATTTTAACCCTCTCCCACCCACTCTGTTGTGTGGTTGTGTGTGTGTTAATGCATGCAGTGCACTTGCTGAGTGTTTTTCTAAATAACTTATCGCACTACCCTCGTCCTACTAGTTTGACCTATGTAGGTTGGGAGTAGTCAGTTTTTCAGAACATAAGAATATAGCTAAGGGCACAATGGTCGACCCCGTGAAGATAAGTAATTAAGAAAAACACTCAGCAAGTGCACTGCATGCAATAACACACACAATAAGGTGGGAGAGGGTTAAAATTCTAAGAAGTTATATAAGTAGGTGGAGAGAGAGAAAGAGGTTGATTGCTGAATCCTGTCTGGTTCATCGAGTCTACACCCAACACAACACGTGCAACAGAAATGACTCATTGCAAATACCAGAGATATGCATGGAAGATATTGTGACCACCAGTCAGTCAAATCAGAAGAGAATAATAAATAATCTTAATATTCTATTTCAATTCAAGCACAACACAACATTCCAAGAAATAACTTATTATGACTATAGAAACACTCGTCTTTTTTCCCATCTAATTGTAATTGATCAATAACACTCGTATTTTTATTTCTGAATGTACTTGATCTCATATTGAATTTTATTCCAATATCTAATCGATTCCACTCATGTATATAAATGAAGGAAAGAAGTTGTGTGAGTAGTGCCTTGATATGATTATGAGTGGCAATAATTTGTGCTCGAAACGTAGTCATCAGTTAGTATTACTGTATAACACAACACTGTGTGACTTATCAAAATAAAATCTTATCCATAATGGAGTTATACTCTAACACCACAGTGTCCAAGTTTTATGCTTATATTAACATCGGATTTGATTGTAAAATAATCAGAGGAGTGGTCAAGTCAGCACTTGATATCAGTTGATGAAGTCATTAGTGTTATAACTGTGTGGAATTTAATGAGGACGTTGTCGCCTTATTCTGTCTGCGCCTGACTAATATGCCTATCTGCTTCTGGTACCTTCCGATTCAGCGAACCACGCAAATATCAAAAGACAAAGTCTGGTCTCTGTCTTTATATTGTAGTACAACAACTACGACAAACTACGACGACGACTACGACAAATAAACTTATTTAGGAAATGGTATTTATACATAATTACAACCAAAACAATATTGATATAAGTATAAAACTTGGGCACTGTGGTAGAGTATAATTCCATAATGGAGCACGTCGTTCCAACCAATCGACGGGAAAATCTAAAATTGAATTAAATAATTAATTGTAGTGATGTTATGTAATTGACGGGATTGAGTAGAATTCAACTAATATTTGAACGAGGGTCAGGTTAACAAAAGTGTGGTAGTAAGAGATAGAGACTTAATAGGGTGTGTGTGGGAAAGAAAATAATACAATTAAGAAACAAAAAACACAAAAGTTAAGTATTTGGTGTTAAGATAGATCAGGTCCGTTGTAGATTTAATGACTGGACAAACTTCTTCTGTGTATGCAGAGTTTGCGATTTAACATGTGATGAATTGCTATTGCTTCTTCTGGGTTTAAAGAAGTTTGATTCGTTGTGCGCTTTTAGCAAGATTCCCAAGTATTCTGTGGATAACTTCGAAGTTTCTTTGTGGGTTGTTTTGCGGTTGTTTTTCTTCTCCTTTATAAAGCCATGAGGGTAAGTGTTCGATGATACGTTTGGAAAGGGAACGTAGAGTACGGCCGACATACCTGGCTCCACACGAGCATGGGAATCGGTAAATGCACATTGATGAGGCCAGTCAGCAGTGGTAGCTTATTCTTCACGTTCATTCGAATCATTAATTCCGTAGAGAAAGTTAGTCAGAGTTAATTCATCCGCGAAGAAGGTTTTTTTCAATGAGCGGGACAGGCGGTTCCTCCATATTTCTGTCGATGAGTCTCTATTGAATTGTAGATTCAATTGGAGAAGTCCTTTGGAAGCTTCATGGATGTTTTGATGAGAGGTTCTGGATATCTGTCTTCAGAGTGTTCAGCTCCTTTTCCACAGTGTCAAGGCTGCAAATGCTGCGGATTCTGTGGCTCATTGTGTGAATCAGGTTTCGTTTCGTATATTAGAGGCGGCACCCAACTATAAAAGTTAGTGAGTTGTCTATTCCTCCATGTCGGCTTTCTGCAGATGTATGTTTTTTTAGTGTTCCATCTTCTTCACTTCTTGTTGACTGAACCTGCAGAAATGATTTTTTTAAATATGATTCCGTGGGGAGTGAAATTCTCCGTCTATCATGAAATCTTAGTTCGCTTCTCGTATGGACACTAGCAATGTGAATTTCAGGATTCGCATTTCCTCCCATTCGGGACTCGTCAACTGAACGTGTGTAACTTTATTTCCAGAAAGTATTAGTAGTAGGAGTAGTAGCGATGTGTGATTTTTCCACCCAGACTCGAACCCTTCGACCCAACCGTTTTAAATGCCATCGTCCGTCAGTGTGTGTGTGTACAAATGTTAATATATGTGTAAAACATGGGCACTGTGATAGTATGTAATTCCATACCTCGGAGAATTCCTAACAATGCTGGCAGGAATAAAGGTGACCGATATTCAAAGTGCCCACAAACTCAATTAGAGAAACAAGCTTTGTCGGTTAAAGGATCCTGCGAGTGGAGCTAATTAAACAAAATAATTTAGTTTATCTAATACCCTGTCTGCGATGATTGTCAGGTTAAAGACATAGGTCAGAGTAGTAGAACGAGGGTCAGTCAGTCAGACTAGTGGAGCATAAAAATCTAGCAGTAAAATCTAGATTAGTTGACTCGACACTAAGATAAGAAGTCTGGAGAATGCTTCAGCTGTGGATAGAACTCACTACATGCAATTACATACAAATATACGGTGTAGGACTGGATGGGATACGATGACAGTTGTGAAATCTGACGTACCAGCATGAAAGAAGAGATTGATCGAATCAATTGCCTGCACGTGTAATAGGAATGATTCAACACTTGTCCATCAGGACATCTGATAAATTCTACTACCCCTACTACGATGACGAATAGGAAAGAATAAAGAAAACTATAAAACTCAAGGTTCGAAGTCGTGCGATTATAAATGGTTTGTATGATTATGAACAATAATGGATGATTGTGTTCGAAGCTTCGTCATCCAGGAAATAGCAACAATTTTTCAACTGATTAAAAATGCCCGTTAAAATTTTCAAAAGAATGGCTACTGGACAAAGAATATTCTTTTCGATAACCTGCTCTTCATCAGGTTCTACAGTTATATATCCATCCATAATAGTGAATGAACGAATTAGTGTTATGAACAACATTAATGTTGCTGTTTTAATAACACCGAATCAATAATATTGATAGATTACAGCTCAAAAGCGTCAACATAACAATAAGCTGAATGTCAGAAAAGCAAATTAGGAAAGATAATATTACAAATCCATGAATTTATAGTCTCTACTGAAGGCTGGCCAGGGTAGAAGTAGTGGCTGGCTGGACTTGCTTCTTTTGCACACAGAGCACTGGTTGTTTGAGGCTAATTTCAATAGCCTCTGGTGTTTGGAGCATGCGGTGCTTCGATGATTTGGCAATTTATTAGGCACCCTGTAGATGATGATAGAGAAGGATTCTTCAATACTGGTTGGCTTTGTGGCCGGCTGGTTTGCACCAGATGGTCTAATGTCGAACTGTTGGTGATGGGTTTTTTCACTACACCTTTACTTACCCATACTGGGAGATGTTCCCGAGAGAGCACGAAAAATCAAGTTCCTAGAGCCATGGCCAATATAACTCGCTCCACCACAAGACCAGTTGAATTGGTAGATACAATTTGCAGTGTGCTTGTGTGTATTTGTGGGTGATATATCCATTTTATAAACAAATGAATGCATGTACGAATTTTTCTAACAGAATTGCAAACTTTTATTTATTTTTATCTCATTGAGTGTGTCTTTTTCTCTTGTGCCTTTTTAGATAGGAATAATGCTCGCAAATCCACTCATTTGGTAAGCATAATATTATTAATAATAATAAGCTTTTAAAATCGTTTTACAAAGATACTTTTATGTACGTATTTTTTTCTATTCTTCACGTTCCCCAGTGGAACATAGGGCTTCAAGCTAGTGGCTTGAAGTTTTTGTAGTAGTGCTTATTTTACAGGATGGGGTTGCTAGCCTCATGCCCAACCTTTCCCCTTCACCAGCGTTATTTCTGGGTTAGCGAGGTAAAGGAGTGCGTCAGCCGGGGATCGAACCCCGGACCATGTGCATGGTCGGCGAGCGTCCTAACCACTATGCCACCGACGCACTTATGTACGTATGTATTACTATTATTCCCCTGGGTTCTCAGTGGAGCATGGGGCTTCAATAACACATGTCCACTTTGTGTTCTATATGGTGTTGTCCTCTCCAGCTGAGTTCAAGATTGCCTATAATCTCTCATCTCCTCGTCTTCCTTCTCCTGGCCACACGATCTTCTCCATGTCACTCTCGCACCGATGACCCACTCGTCGCTTCTCATTTGAGTAATAAATAGGTTGTATTTAGAAAACAGAAAGATTGAGTGAAGAAATATTTACTTTTCAATTAGATCCTCATCTCACTCTGGCTGTACTCTAATATACATGTATAGCATTTTAATTACAATACACAACAGTTTACCAATCAACTGGCACTGTTAGGTTTGTTAACAATAATTAGTCAGTGTCAAAATGTCAAGCAGTGGAGTGATAATTAACGAAGAAAATCAATACGCACACAATTAAAAGGTAGAAATGGTTAGAATAAATTAATTTTACAAGGATAACACGTAATTAAAGATGAAGTGGTCAAAATAAATAACAATAAAATAATTTGGACAATTATAATTTTTATAGTTTATAAAAGTTTAGGGGGAAGGGGGCGACGTAGTCCTGTTTATGCATTCTTGTAACGATGGCCACGGTAAGGAAAGTGGCTGTACAAATTTCTTCTGAACACATAGGCTTGCCTTCTTAAGGTGAATTCCGATTGCTTCAGCTGTCTGTAGAAGACGAACTCGTAGAGCAAAATTAAGATTAGTCAGAATGCGATAAATAATTTTAAATGCAGTATTCACATCAACCTTATGCTCAGTATCAACAAGGTGTGCTAAAATAGAACTACGAATAGATCTTTTTTGTCCTTTGGTTAGCCATGCCACAGGATGATGTTTGGAAATACGACGATGAACCTGCCTAATTGTACGCCCAATGTAGGTGGCTCCGCAGCTGTAGTCAAACTGGTAGATACACACAGTAGAGGCAAGTTTAGTTAGTTTACCCTTATTTCTCGAACATAGAATAGGAGTGGTTGTGAAGAGACAACGTACCTCTGCTGCATAATAAGCTCTGCTAACTGCATTCTTCAGGCGCTGTGTTATTATTTCGCTGATGTTGTCACCGAGGAACTGCAATTTTATGAAAATTGGTTTACTCGGAACTGTAGCCATACTGACTCTCCTAGGTGCTGAATTCATATTTTTCTCAATGAATTTATCTGGATAACCATTTTTTCTAAGTAATTCTCTAATAATTTTAAGCTCCTCATTGAGGCAGTCGTCTGAACAGATTAATCTAGCTCTATGAACCAGACACTTTTCCAGGTTACGTTAAATGTGTATTGATTTTCTTCGTTAATTATCACCTCACCGTTTGACATGTTGACACTGACTAATTATTGTTAACAAACGTATCAGTGCCACGTGATTGGTAAACTGTTGTGTATTGTAATAAAAATGCTATACGTGTATATTAGAGTAGAGTCAGAGTGAGATGAGGATCTAATTGAAAAGTAAATATTTCTTCGCTCAATCCTTCTGTTTTCTGAATGTCTAAATGCCAATTTTTTCTATAATAGGTTGTACTCAAAACCATATCAGGGTGTGCTCAGGCACACCACACAACTTTCCAGTATATTTCATATCCTTGATTGTATTATGTCAGTAATAATAATAATAATAATAATAATAATATATTCTCATTTTTGTACATGGGGAGGGACACCAGTTTACAGGTATCATCAATATGATAAATTACATATACGATTAGTAGGCGTATTTAATAATAATAATAATAATATAATAAAATACATATTTATTCCTACCTGTGTAGGACACACTAATTGTACAGGCATGGATAAGTATTATTTAAATTACATAAATTTGGTTTATGGTGAAAATACATGGTTGCTGTCCATCTTGTCTTTAGTTTGTGGGAACAATCTGATAACTAGTCATTTAATGGAGCACATCTAGAAATATAGAAATGTCTGTCTGTTTTCGACGTAGAACTTTGCACATATGTGCTGCAGTTCACGTCGCCACACTCTACTCCATATAGCAAGAAAGGAAATTGGGGGAAAGGCATAATATAGACAGTAAACAGAGGTGTGAGACAAAGGAATAGTAATAACGAAGAACAAAACAGTTTCATTGAAAATCATAAGTCACAAGGAGTGGATGCATCTGCACAAGCCATTGAAAACGATCACTTTGAGCCATGTCACCAATTGTTTCCAACCATTGGTTTCTACCGTCCCGAGGACCCCAACCAGACTGGAAGTCTACATCTCCCTACGTGACTGGCTTAAACTAACTGTTGTGAATTTCATTGACTGGTGCCATGTTTTGGTTTGACCGCCGCTAGCTCTTTTCCAGACTGACACTATATCAGCTAACATTGCTTGTTGTCGAAGAAGGCGATGACTAGGCATACGTAACACATGTCCTAACCATCTCAGTCGATGTAATTCACAGCCTCGTCGGTTGATTTCTTCTCCTTACCTATCACTCGACCGAAGCCTAACCTCAATATTGCTCACCTTGTTATACCACTTCCGATGGGAGATAGAACGCAGACACCTATGATCAAAGACAGTTAATCTTTTCATGTCTTCCACTGTCAATGGCCAAGTCTCACAGCCATAAAGGAGGACAGAGCGGACTGATGAGCAGTAAACACGCCCTTTGCTCGATAGTCGGATATCACGTCTACTAGGCCACAGACGGCGTTAACTGGCATATGCGAAACTAGCCCTCTGTATTCCTACTGAGATTTCATCAGAGATCAACCCGTTGGCACTGGCTGATGGTACTTCCTAAATAAGTGAAGCGGTCAACGTGCTCTACCACTTCACTTCCTATTTCTAATCTAGGAATCAGTGTAGTACAATCCTGTAACATCATCTTACATTTGGCGGGAGCGAATCGCAGGCCAGACACTCGTAGATTGCAGCTCAAGGTGTTCAGAAGACTCTGCTTTTTGTCAGCGCCCTCACCTAGAATGACCATATCGTCTGCATATTCTCAGTCAACGAGATTATTCCCTGGTAGCATGTCAGTCCCTGAGTCTCTGAAGTGAGTTAGGGTTAAGTCCATTAGTACATCTATGATGAAATTTAATAGAAATGGGGATAATGGGCATCCTTGACGGACGCCACTAGTTGTCACCACTTCAGATGACACTTCGCCGTAAGCTCTCACTTGGCTAGCTGCATGAGTACGAGTAGAGTATAGAGATATTGTCTTCGCATTAACAAAAAAGAAAACCCAAGTATGTGTTGGATGATGGATTACAAATATTTGGGAAAGAAAAGTAAAGCTTGAAGTCATTCCCCATTATATAACTTTGGTGTGTGTACGGCATCGAGTTTTATTCTTGATTTATATCCAAATTGGGTATAATAATTTAAAATAAGCGATACACTTGTATAAATTTGTCAGCATTTTCATCGTAATTAACACCAGAAGTGAATTGTACTCAATGCAGACAAATAATAATAATGATAGTTTATATTTTCTTATAAACGGGTGTTTACAAGAAATGCAAGCTATTTTTACAGGCACGAACAATTATGTTATATAAATTACAATCGTGAAATATTATAAATTAATACTTTTTCATTGGTATAAAGGTATATTCCACAAGTGTAATCCAGGTTGCGTCGTGGGGAGGGGGGAAGGTAATGCGTAATTCAGGAGGCAATTGTAAGATATGTTAGATGAGCAGGTGAATTGGTAGATGCACATTGATGCACATTCTGTATATTGTGTATAAACATTGTTTTAATGTGATATTTTGTATGCTACTGTCAAATTATAAGTAGTTGCAAGCTTTGTCAAGAAATTAACATCAGTTAATGGACAATTGAAAGCCAGGAGAGGATATTGAGCAGATGTTCCATCCTAGCTTAGGAATATTTAACAGTGGACACCCATGACCTCAACAGGGATTTACCTTGGAACCCTCCTCACCAAACACCCAACACCTCTCTGAGTGAGATGTAAACACGGGTCCTCCGTCCCTAACTGAGGTTACAAAAGCTGTCACTTATTTAAAACGAGGCAGAGCAATGGGACCTGGCGGAATGACTCCAGAGGTATTTAAGTACGGTGCAGACAGTTCACTGTCTGCCTTAACTAGAGTAGTAGGCAGCCTCTGAGATTCAGAGGAAGTCCCGTCAGGCTGGTGTAAGTCGTTGATTATCGCGATATACAAGAAAGGAGACAAGTCTTCCTGTGATAATCACAGGGGGATTAGCTTGACTAATATGGTATCTAAAGTTCTAGGCTCAGTAATCATGCCTAAACTAAGTGGTGCTCGGGAGGAACAAACACGAGAGAACCAGACAGGCTTTAGACCAGGAAGAGGATGTATTGATCATATCTTCACCCTTCAACAGATTCTGGGACAAAGGCATACTTACCGTCGGCGTCGGAAAATCGTCATATTTCTTGACCTAAAGGCGCCATTCGATTCCGTCGACCGAGAGGTACTCTGGCGATGTTTGACTGTGACATATATTGCACTGATCAAAGTACTCTACTCAAACTCATGCAGCCAGCCAGGTAAGAGCCTATAGAGAGTTGTTATCTGACAATTGTGATGACAACCAGTGATGTCTGTCAAGGATGTCCACTCTCCGCATTCCTATTTATTTATTTATTTTATTTATTTTGATTACAGCTTAGTTACATCAAAGGTGTACTAATGGAGTTAACCCTAACTGTATCCAGCTACTCAGAGACTGACTTGTTACCATCAGGGAATAATCTCGTTGACTTAGAATATGCAGTGATATAGTCCTCCCACCTATGTGAAGACGGTGACAAAATGCAGTGTCTTCTGAACACCTTGAGCTGAGCAGCAATCGTCGTATGTTTGGCATGCGGTTCGAGCGCTCATGTTAAGTTTAAGATGATACTTGCTATAGGAGTGCACTACATTGACTCATTCCTAGCTGAAAGATAGGCAGGAGAGAAGTGGTTGGTGAAGCGTGTTGACCACTTCACTTATTTGGGGAGTTGTATCAGCACGGAAACAGAAGGCTCATTTGGCATTTGCCTACCAAATTACTCTATCTCTGGCGTAGACGTGATATCCAGCTGCCAATTAAAGCATGTGTACTGCTCAGAAGTTCGCTCTGTCCTCCTTTATGGCTGCTAGTGAGATATGGTCATTGAAAGTGGAAGGCATGAAAAGCCTGGCTTTCTGGTTGTCTTTGATCAAAGGTGTCTCCGTTCTATCTCCCTTGTTAGTTGGCATAATAGGGTGAGTAATGTTGAGGTAATGCGCGGTGTGTTAGGTAAGGCGAAAAAAATCAACCTACGAGGTCGGGAAATTACATCGATTGATATGGTTAGGATATGTGTTACACATGCATGCCTAGCCATCCATCACCTTCCTCGATAGACAATGTTAGCTGATATAGGATGTGGATTAGATTGAAAAAGAAAGAGCTAGTGGTGGTCAAACGAAAACATGTTTTCATCACTCAGTCAAATCCATAAAAGTTAGTTTAAGCCAGTCACCCAGCCACGTAGGTAGGTGTGTACAGGTTTCCCGTTTTGGGGAGTCCTCAAGATGCTAAAAACCAATGACGGCTAGAGACAATTGATGATATAACTCAAAATCGTCGTTCTCAATAGCACAGAGGCATTCAATCTTTGTGATCTCTTATATCCAAAAACACCCTTTTGCTTTCCAATGTTACTATTCTTTCTCCCTCACATTTCTGCTTATAAATGCTCCCTTGAATGTCTGTTTTCTCTCTTGTGTCTTCCATTGTTTGCTACATAGAGTGTGGCAACCTGAACTGCTGAACCTCTGTGCAATGTTTCGTGTTAAATCCAGCCAATCAATCAACCAATCAATAGTCTCATATTTTAATCTTATTTTCACATTTCACGATTATTATGATTATTATTCTGATATAGTTATGTTCTGTCAGTTGAAGGGTGGTTTATCTGCGAAGCTTTCATTGCCCCCACCCTACTAGGCAACATCTTCAGCGCATACACTTCAATTTGCTGAAGTGAACTTTTAGATTTATCCATGAGTTTATTAATCATCTCTCCTGGTCACCACCTTAAACGTGATTGGCTGTTTTTGTGTGTTTTCACACCTTCTAGGCTATTTATATCGGATTTGATTGTTTCTTTGACTTGAACTTTGACCCTTTGTGTTTGAGGTTTCCTTCTTATCTGTTGGTAAATTTTGTCTATGTCGGTAGATGTGTCTATTGGTTGACGACTCACAGGAATACCAGGCAGGCTGGCTTCTAAAAATTCTCTAGCATTCTAGATGTTTCTTCTGTCCAATATTTGAACGTTGGTTATCCCAGTCGAATCGATGTCCATGTTTGTCTGTATGCAGTGAGGCTATATGAGTGAGGGAGTGGATGTCATGTCTTTTGACGGCTAGTTTCTGTTCATAGATACGAAGACGAAGAGCAGGGACGTCCACTTTGGCCAATGTAGTGTTTTTCACAGTTATAAAACACAAAATAATTGAGCGAGCGAAGAATATCCTTTTCGATAAATTCCGCTTCTGGCTCTACAACTACATATATGTGTGTTAATATACATTGAATATTCTAAAATAGTAGTCAATAACAATATTTTTTTTATTCCTTCACGTTCCCAGTGGAAAATAGGGCTTCAAGCTAGAGTCTTGGAGTTTCGGTAGCAGTGTTTAATTCTTACAGGATGGGGTTGCTAGCCTCATGCCCAACCTTTCATCTTCACCAGCATTATTTCTCGCTTAGTGAGGTAAAGGAGTGCGTCGGCCGGGGACCGAACCCCGGCGAGCGTCCTAACCACTATGCCACCGACGCAATGTTAGTGTTTCTTAAATAACATGGCTGTGAGACCTGGTCATTGAGAGCAGAAGACATGAAAAGATTAGCTGTCTTCGATCATAGGTGTCTGCGTTCTATCTCCCGCGTGAAGTGGTATAATAAGGTGAGCAATATTGAGGTTAGGCGTCGAGTGCTAGGTAAGGAGAGTAAATCAATCGACATGGCTGTGAAGCTACATCGACTGAGATAGTTAGGACATATGTTTCGTATGCCTAGTCATCGCCTCCCTCGACAGTGGGTAATGTTATCTGACATAGGGTCAGGCTGGAAAAGAGCTAGCGGTGGTCAAATGAAAACATGGCACCAGTTAATGAATTCCACAACAGTTAGTTTCAGCTGGCCACGTAGGGAGGTGTAGACTTCCTGACTGGTTGGGGTCCTCAGGATGGTAAAAACCAATGGTTGGAAACAATTGGTAAGAGCAGATGCATCCACTCCTTGTGACTTATGATTTCCAATGGAACAATATTGTTCTTCTTTATGACTATTCCTTTGTCTCACACCTCTGTTTACTGTCTATATTATGCATTTCTCCTACTTTCTTCTCTTGCTTTGTTTGCTACATGTGGGCAGTGTGGCGACTTGAACTGCCGCACTTATGTGCAAAGTTCTATGTTGAAAACCGACCGACCACAATTGAATTACAGTTCATTAAATATGCTTTAATTATAATGATAATAATAAAGATATAATAGCGAATATATCAACTAAAATTAGGGAAATTCCACAAAAATTCCGGATTATTCAAACCTGAATGGCCAAGGTAGTGATAATGACTGAACTAACTTCTTTTGGATGCACAAATTAGGCTTCTTAATAAGGATCCCTACAGCCAGCCTCAGCAATATTTAGTAGTGGAACTCTTAAGGCGAAATTGAGATTTGTTGGTATGTGGTAAATTACCCTGAAAGCATGGTTAACGTCAATCTTGTGTTCTGTCTGTATCCACAAGATGAGTGAGATAGAAAAGCGCTGCGAATAGATTTTGTTTGTCCTTTGCTTTACCACTATTCAGGGTGATGTTTGGAAATCTGACGAGAAACACGCCTAATTGTACAGCGTGTTACAATCTATTTTGTAGATGATGTTGTTCAGTCTTTTGGTTGATTATGAGTACTATTCGCTTTACATTCTACTGGATTACGCTTGGTTCTATTGATCCACATTGTTACAAATGGTCTCTGACTAATATTTGATTACGTAATACATAAAACCTGATGAGAATTCAACGCAAATACGTATTCCCTTGCTTAAATCGTGTTCTATTTAATTTTCTCCCTTATGTCTATATGTTGTTGTTTCTACTCTGAAATTTAGTCACCGATTAAATCATCCGCCAGTAGTACAATGACAAATCAAGACACCATACAATCCACTTTGGATACAATATCTGGTTCTGTAAGAAAAAAATCAATCTCTAATCGTCAGCATATAATCACATCACGTAAACAATCTATTGCTGCTGCCGGGATGACAATTGAAGAGGCAACAGCGGCAGTGGCAGCAGCAGGAGCAGCAGTAGACGATGATGCCTCTCAATCTGATCTGCGTAATCTATGGAGTCGTCGACGTAAAATTGACGGTGCATTGAATCGTGTCCCGCCAGGATTTTATAAACGTGTCTATACTATATTAAGTCATGTTCAAGGCTTAGCGATTGGTGATCAAGTACTTAGTCATAATTTAACAAAAGAAGTAAGTTTTTTTTCTATTGATTGTTTTTTGATTTTTTTTGGGGGGGAGTGGAGGAATCAGTAAGGGCCCAATCACCCTCCCCCCCCACACACATACATATGAACAGATCCTTCATGGACAAGGCTGGTACCTGTGTAACAACAGAAGACAAGGGCCAGGCAACAAATAGTTTTTTACGGAAATCAACAGATATTTATAGATTTTCATGTACATTATTATAGATTATTGTTAGCAGACAAACACAGTCTTCTGATTGGTTGTCTCTCACTGAAAGTCAGTCTTTCATCTCTTAGTGGCTGTTTCTTTGAAGGTCACACCATCTATCTGCTAATTGTGTCCGCCTACGCAAACAAAGTCTGTTATGATTGGTTGTTGAGTCAGTCAGTCTTTGTTCATGTTGTTTTCTCATGACCAATATTTGGAACATAAACATTGACGTAAATAACTGTCTACCAATTTTGGCTAGCAGACAGGTCTCACCACACCTGTACTTACCCTGTGAAAAGTTTGATTATCATACTACCTGGACGCTGTGATGACTGAAGTAGGCGGGATGGGATTCGAACCCGGGAATAGATGATTGAAAGTTGAGTTCATAAGCCAAATGTGCCATTCATCAAGGAATCGGAATTTTGTTTCGAACAATCGACAAGAGTTTATATGAAAATTGCGGGAGCATCGAAGTTATTACTGACTAATGTTGAATTGCTTTTCCTTTTTGAAGTTAATTCGTAGACAAAATAAAAGATATTAATATCAAGGACAAAACCATGATATCTCTGGACATAACATCGTTATTCACAAGCGTACCTCTAATAGAAACAGTTAACTTCATCTGTGAACAAGTGGATAACCAGTCGATAAATACTGGCATCCGTACTGAAATCCTAAGAGAATTGTTATTATGGCGTACCATGAATGTAAATTTCAAATTTGATGGCAAGTGGACGGGGTGGCGATGGGCTCCCCACTGGGTACCATTCTGGCTGATTTCTTTCTAAGTAAGCTAGAAAATGGACCTTTGAACAACCTTATCAGAAAGTTCTCATTTTATTGCCGATATATGGATGACACCATCATTCTTTGTGATAATGGTTCTGATAGGAGTACACTAATTACTGAATTCAATGAAGTACAAGACAGAATTGCCATCCTGGATGTCTTACTTACAAGAAAACTAGGTGGTAGCATAAAAAGAAATTTGCATAGAAAAAGTACTTTGACAGGAAAATATACACATTTTCACAGCTTCGTTCCTATCAAATACAAAAGAAATTTGGTGAAGACCCCCAGCCACAGAGTTAGAGCTATATGCTCAGAAGAAGTAATTGAAAATGAATTAAGCATTGTATATGATACTTTGATCGAAAATAGCCATCCCGAAAAATTTATCAAGAAACACATGACAAAGAAAGTGGAAAAGGACTACTCACTATCCGTAAACAAGAAACCACTTTATATACGACTGTAATTCAAGGGTGATATACCAAGTGAGATAATTACCAGGAAATTAAGAAAATCAGTTCAAAGAACTTTTAATGATGGCGAACTACACGTCTTATTCTCTGCACGACCGATGGTGCTACCTCGACTGAAAGATGCAGTACCTAGACTAGCCATCTCAAATTGTATCTACCAATTCAACTGCTCTTGTCGTGGAGAGAGTTATATCGGCCATTGCTCTAGGAACTTGATTTTTCGTGCTCGAGAACATCTCCCAGTATGGCTAAGTAAAGGTGTAGTGAAAACCATCACCAACAGTTCGATATTGGACCGTCCGGTGCAAACCAGCCGGCCACAAAGCCAACCAGTATTGAAGAATCCTTCTCTATCATAACCTACCGGGTGCCTAATAAATTGCCAAAATCATCGAAGCACCACATGCTCCAAACAACAGAGGCTATTGCAATTCGCCTCAAACAACCAGTGCTCTGTGTTTAAAAGAAGCGAGTCCAGCCCCTACTGCTGCCTTGGCCTTCAGTGGAGACTATAAATTCATGAATTTCTAATTTCTGAGTGATACTAATTGTTTGTACGACGATTGAGGGTAGACAGGTTGAGGGAATTCGAACTTGGTGCCTACTGATAGTGAAGGTCAAGTAATTTGGAGTGTTTGATTAGATACTAGTCAGTAACTAGTGTAATGTGTGTGTCCAGTCTTTGGTGTTTCTGCAGACTGATGAATTCTGTCATCAGTCAGTCACGTTTGCAATGTGGCCACCATGCCACTAACAAGGTGGTACACTTAGAATTGTTCATATTAGATAGTTGAAGGCAATCGGAGGACACCGGAAGACTTGCCTAACCAACCTAGGTTTCTTGCTCACTTTAGCACTCACCAGTCTGTCAGCAAGGCGTATCGGCAATTACTTTGAAGGAACTCATGTCCTCCCCTTCTGAGGGATTCGAACCCGTAGTCTGCTCCGACACAAAGAGCCAGACACATTACACCAGTTACACTGACAAGTGTCCAATCAAAAGTATCCAATACAGTCACAGTCCTACAGGAGGTCAATCATGAGTCCAAGTAGGCTCAGTGGAGGTAATGTCTCTGACTGCAGCACCGGGTGACGCGGTGTGGTGAGAGCTGTCTACTAGCCAAATTGGTAGGCAGTAATTTACGTCAATATTTATGTTCCCAAGATTTGTCGTGAGAAAATGTGAACAAAGATTGATTCAAAACCGACCACAGCAGACTTTGCGTAGGCGGATGCAGTTAACAGACAGAGGATTTGACATTCAAGAAACAGTCACAAATAGATGAAAGATTAACTTTACGTGAGAAACAACCAATCGGAAGACTGTGTTTGTTTGCTTAAATATCCATAGTGATGTACATGAAAATATATAAATATGCGTTGATTTCCTTAATAAAGGATCTGTTGCCTGGCCCTTGTCTTCTGTTGTTACATTTGGTGTCGCTGCCTACCGACAAATGGAAAGCCTATGCCCTGCAGTTTTTGATGAAGACATGGATCTTCGGGCAGGACTTTGAGGCTTCTTCGCAGTTGAGTGGCGTCCAAGATCTGTCAGCGATGAGGCTGCTACTTGGGACGCTGCTGGGAGGTCGGGAGAAAGCAGCATATGAAAGTGTGAGCCGAAATACCTACGAATGTGCGGCAGCGTCAGGCAAACAGTTTCCAAAACGGGAAGGACCATACAAAGTAACAAAAAGACGGGGTCAAGTATATACCATCAGAAGAGGTGACAAACAAAAACGAGTTAACGCCAGTCAGATCCAACGATGGGTGCATTGGGACAAGCCGGTCTGTAACAATCATCAACGAAAGGATGCATCACCCAGAAGGTCGGAACGCCTGTGTGCGAAGCTATTTGACGGGGGGGGGGGGGGAAGAGTGTGGTGAGAGCTGTCTACTAGCCAAATTGGTAGACAGTAATTTACGTCAATATTTACGTTCCCAAGATTTGTCGTGAGAAACAACCAATCGGAAGACTGTGTTTGTTTGTTTACATATCCATAGTAATGAACATGGAAACATATATAAATATGCGTTGATTTCCTTAATAAATGATCTGTTGCTTGACTCTTGCCTTCTGTTGTTACAGCGGTTTCGAATTAGGAATTTAATTCAATTCCAATGTGAAGTCAGTGCTACTCACTATACGGATCAGACAATTGTTCTGCGCGTCATAAAGAGCATCTCAAACAAACTACAGACCTTCATTAACAGTTGTCTTCGCTCAATGCCACTCAAGATCAGATGGCCGGCCAGAAAACATCAGCAACAGGGATCTCTGTCAGTGAGCGAACCAACAGAGCAGGAACCGATTGTGAAACAAATAGGCAGGAAGAAATGGAGATGGATTGGCTGGCCATACTCTGAGGAAACAAACCATCAAGTGACATCACTAGACAGGCCATAGCTCGAATGGAACCCGAAAGGGAAGTGGCGAGTTGGTCGTCAGTGTGAGGGTGACATGGAGAAGGTCATGTGAGGATGAGATGAAAGCATGTGGGCAGACATGGAGCCAGGTGAGAACTCTATCAGAGAACCGAACGCAATGGAGACGCATGGCTGAAGCCCTATGTTGCTCTAAAGATTAAAGGAAACAGTAATAATAATAATAATTTTGATAGCATTATTAGAAGACGGAGATTATCTGAAAAATGTGATGTATTAGCGCTATACATTTCGAACAATCTGATCACACATTTACTTGTCAAGTCAATATATATGGAAAAGTTAAATTAAACAAGGTGACAAAAAAGAATTAAGAATAATTAACACAAACGTTTGGTAATCCAATCAAATAAGGATTACCAAGGTAGGTTAAGAGTAATAACAAACTGTTTTTGAATACACAAGGGGGGCTTAAGTTTATGAATGGCTATAGCCTCAGCGTATTTCAGTAAACGTCCTTGACCGTTTTTATAGATGACCTTAAAGGCTGAGTTAACATCAACCTTATGGTTCATCTCGATTAAATGTTTAGCTATAGACGTTTGTGTTAATTATTCTTAATTCTTTTTTGTCACCTTGTTTAATTTAACTTTTCCATATATATTGACTTGACAAGTAAATGTGTGATCAGATTGTTCGAAATGTATAGCGCTAATACATCACATTTTTCAGATAATCTCCGTCTTCTAATAATGCTATCAAAATTTATAAAAGGGACTAACTGTTTTAAATAATAATAATAATAGTGAGTTCCTTCAAGGTAATTTCAGACACGCCTTTCTGACTGACTGGTAAGTGCCAACAAGCACGAAACCTAGGTCAAGCAAGGCTTCCTGTGGCCGATTGCCTCCAACCATCTTATATCATCGGGAGATGACGGCTTATGAGTGATCTTGGAGCCAGCTAAAGAGGATTTCACAGGAAGAGATAAAATGAAGATGTGCTTTTGAAGACTCCCCCCCCTGTATTTCACTTAGAAGCCAAGGGAATGGTCATTTTTCACTTACATAGGAATTATTAAAAAGATGGTTGCAGCGAAGAAAATTTTCTTTTCGACGAAGTCACCACCAACTAGGCTCTACATTCGTGTATTTATAATGAATGGATGGGAAAGTTCCAGAATAATTTCCGGTTAAGGGTCAAATTAATACAATTACAATTAGGAATTAAAATGCCATAATAAGCAGGGAGGCGGACGGATGAAACTCAACCAAAGTAGCATCATAATTACTGAAAAGATTGACATATTGTGCAATCGGGGGTTAAAAATATACAAATAACAAAATAGACAGAAAGTTTGGATAAAAAGTCTAGTGGGATCATAACTAATGTGACGAATAATTTTTTATGCAGTTGGGGATTAAATATGTAGAAATAATAAAATGACAAAATGGACAGGAAGGTCGGATATGAAAATGTGGTAGTGTGAATAGGGATTACGAAAAACTTGAAAATAACATGAGTAAACAGGAAGTTTGCATAAGAAAGGCAATGGAATGGTCATCACTAAAAGGATTACCTGTTTATGATGGCCATGGCAGGCAGGGACAAGGGTTGGACGTATTTCTTTTGGATAAGAAAGCGTGGGGTTGAGCTTTTGGATGGCTAATGCCTTAGCTATGCCCAGGTGTCTTAATTTCACTCCCTTTGGTAGGTTTGATTGAATCTTGTATATATTACTTTGAAGGATTTTTCGAAAGGCACTGAATGTCCTGAACTGACCAGATGTTCTGTCACTGAGCTATATACGTGTTTTCGGTGTTTTTTTACCAACCAGGCTGGATAGTGTTCACGAGCGCGTTTTGCAAGTTGGCGTATGGTATGGCCGTTGTACTCAGCTCTGCACGAGCAAGTAAACTGGTATATGCACGTCGAAGTATCCCAATGTGACAGCCTGTATTTTACGTTCTGGTCAAACAGTTTCTTGCAGGAAAACGTTAGTCGTAGGCTCGCGGTGAAGTATGCTTTCCTCAGCAATTTGGAGAGGCGTCCATTTGTTATAAATACACGAATGTACAGCCTATTTGACGGTGACTTCGTTGAAAAGAAAACTGTCTTCACTTACAACGCTAAAGTGTAGAGAAAGTCTATCAATATTGGACCAGTAGATCAATAACCACATGAACCCATTCATTATTTAAGCTGTACAAAGGACAGCAGTTAAATACACTACGAAAGAACGTTGTGTGTACTCATACATTGAGTAGCTTTATCCTTATTTAACATGTACATTTTAGTCTTTTCGAATACCAATAGTAGTTCGTATATATGGTTTGATATTTGATATGATTGAAAAGATTAAATGAACAAAATAACTAACAAACAAAGAAACCAGAGAAAGTTGTAAAAATCAATTCTGACAGCCATTATCAGATTGATTTTTTACGCATTTATTTCAGTTCGAGCAACAAATTGATAAAAACTCACACACACACACACACACACACGCATAACTTAATAAAATCTATCTAAGCACATTGATCTGTCACATTTGAAATCAAATTATGTATAAGTTGATTGTAAAAAACAAAAAGATTGAGCGAAGAAATATTTACTTTTCAATTAGATCCTCTTCTCACTCTGGCTCTACTCTAATATATATGGCATTTTTTACAATACACAACAGTTTACCAAACACGTGGCGATATGTTTGTTAACAATAACTAGTCAGTGTCAACATGTCAAGGCGTCGGGTGATAATTAACGAAGAAAATCAATACACATTTAACGTAACCTGGAAAAGTGTCTGGTTCATAGAGCTAGATTAATCTGTTCAGACGACTGCCTCAATGAGGAGCTAAAGATTATTAGAGAATTACTTAAAAAATGGTTATCCAAATAAATTCATTGAGAAAAATATGAATTCAGCACCTAGGAGAGTCAGTATGGCTACAGTTCCGAGTAAACCAATTTTCATAAAATTGCAGTTCCTCGGTGACAACATTAGCGAAATAATAACACAGCGCCTGAAGAATGCAGTTAAAAGAGCTTATTATGCAGTAGAGGTACATTGTCTCTTCACAACCATCCCTATTCTATGTTCGAGAAATAAGGATAAACTACCTAAATTTGCCTCTTCTATGTGTATCTACCAGTTTGACTGCAGCTGTGGAGCCACCTACATTGGGCGTACAATTAGGCAGGTTCATCGTCGTATTTATGAACATCATCCTGTGGCATGGTTAAGCAAGGGATAAACAAGATCTATTCGTAGTTCTATTTTAGCACACCTTGTTGATACTGAGCACAAGGTTCATGTGAATACTGCATTTAAAATTATTTATCGCATTCCGACTAATCTTAATTTTGCTCTACGAGTTCGTCTTCTACAGACAGCTGAAGCAATCGGAATTCACCTTAAGAAGGCAAGCCTATGTGTTCAGAAGAAATTTGTACAACCACTTTCCTTACCGTGGCCATCGGTACATGAATGCATAAACAGGACTACGTCGCCCCCTTCCCCCTAAACTTTTATAAACTATAAAAATTATAATTGTCCAAATTATTTTATTTTTATTTATTTTGACCACTTCATCTTTACTTACGTGTTATCCTTGTAAAATTAATTTATTCTATCCATTTCTACCTTTTAATTGTGTGTATTAATTTTCTTCCTTAATTATCTACCCATTGACATTTTGACACTGGTTAATTATTGTTAACAAACATATCGCCACATGTTTGGTAAATTGTTGTATATTGTAAAAAATGCTATATATATTAGAGTAGAGCCATAGAAGAGGATCTAATTGAAAAGTAAATATTTCTTCGCTCAATCTTTCTGTTTTTTCAAATGTCTAAATGGGGATATTTTCTATATTAAGTTGATTGTGTCTGTGATTATTATTATTGTTTCCTTTAGTTCCTAGAGGAACATAGGGCTTCAGCCGTGCGTCTCCATTGCGTTCGGTTCTCTACCAACGTTTTCACCTGGCTCCAGGTCTGCCCACACGCTTTCATCTCCTCTTCACTAGACCTCCTCCTCCATGTCACCCTTTGACGGCCAACTCGCCGCTTCCCTTTCGGGTTCCACTCGAGCGATGGCTTGTCTAGTGATGTCAATTGATGGTTTCCTCAGAGTATGGCCAGCCAATCCATCTCCATTTCTTCCTGCCTATTTGTTTCACAATCGGTTCCTGCTCTGTTGGTTCGCTCATTGCCAGAGATCCCTCCCTGTTGCTGATGTTTTCTGGCCGGCCATCTGATCTTGAGTGGCATTGAGCGAAGACAGCTGTTAATAAAGGTCTGTAGTTTGTTTGAGATGCTCTTTATGACGCGCTGGCCAAGTCTCTGATCCGTATAGTGAGTAGCTTTGACTCCACATTGAAGTTAAAAACCCGGGTCTTATTTTTCATGATGAGTGCTGTTGTTCCCCGCACAGACTTGAAAGTAATGAAATCTTGTCTTGCTTTCCCGATCCTCGCTGCTTTGATATCCTCATCAGTTCCGTCCGCCTGTAGTTGAAACGATGCTTCCCAGGTAGGTAGGTAAAGGAGGTTGCTCCTCTCAGATTTCTCCCATTTATGCTGGCTGATTTTTGTCTGTTTTTGTTGCTGCTCCTGGTGGTGGTGTTGGCCAGGAATCTTCATGACCTCCGTTTTCTCATTGTTCACCTGAAGGCCTAATTCTCTGGATGCTTCTTCTGCCGCCACTTTTCACCTGCATGTCTTCCAGTTTGTGGAAAATCAGACACATGTATCATCGGCAAAGTCCTGATCCTCCAAGTATCTTTTTGTGTGGGTCCACCCTATGCCCGTTTCCTCACTGCCCGCTGTCTATCTGTCGCATTATCCAGTCTACCGCAATCAGGAAATTAATCATTGAAGATAGCAGGCAACCAGCCAGCCAGCCAGCCTTGTCTTACTCCCGTCTTCACTTCTTCGAAGGATTCCATGAGTTTCCGTTTTTTGTGGATTACTTGACATGCGCAGCATTACCTCGTAGTATAACTGTTGGATGAGATGTATAATTCTTGGCGTCGACCATGTATCCTTATTATCTGTTTGCAATACTGTAATAATTATTTTTTTTGTTGTTGTTGTTTAGATGACAATTGGTGAGCATAAATTTGCACTGGCTGTAGAACGTGTCTGTACAATGGTTAGTACACCAGAATATCGTCAATTAATAATTGAAGCAATTCATGTACTCGGCTCCTTGATGATGTATGATATTGACAATTCACTTTACTTAGATTGTATTGTTAAGGTGGAAGACATCATTGAAAGAGCAAATCATTTATTTTTAATTGATCAAGTAAGTGTTAAAAGGTTTACATTCTGTTTTTTGATTTTTTTTGTATTATATAAAGTGTTGGATTCCAGTGATTTCATTTGGTTAGAGAACGAAACACTGAATGAAAACTTGGGCGAAATGAAAAGCTGTTTCGTCCTGGTTGGGGACTCTTCAAAATTGCGCGCCCCCCCCCCCGTTGGCTTCGAATCTAAGATGTTGTAATCAGAAAATCCTTGATTCGAAACACCGTGGCGAAGGGTACGTACACTGTTGAAGAGTCCTGAACAAGGACGAAACAGATGTTCAGTTACTACCTTCTGGTTTCTCTTGATTCTCTAATTGATGTCTGCTCGTGATCAGGCCCCAATAAATACCAGTCAAAGAATTATCTAGAAGGATTGAAGGATTACTTAGCCGCTATATAGCTGTTTACAGGTGACCAAAATTCACCAGTTATCGAACCCATAGCTGGGTCCCGTTGTATTACTGATAAAAGTATAAAACTTGGCCACTGTGGTAGTAAAGTATAACTCCATTATGGATAAGATTTTATTTTGATAAATTGTCACACAGTGTTGTGTTATACAGTAATATTAACTGATGACCACGTTTCGAGCACAAATTATTGCGACTCATAATAATAACAAGTCACTCACTCACACAACTTTCACGCTTCATTTATATGCATGTGTGGAATTCACTAGATATTTGAATAAAAATCAGTATAGGATAATGTACATTCAGAAATAATAATAACATGAGTGTTATTGATCAATTACAATCAGATGGGAAATAAGACGAGTGTTTTTATAGACAAAATAAGTAACTTGTTAGGATGTTGGGATGTGCTTGAATTGAAATAGAATTTTGAGATTATTTATTATCCTCCTGTGATTTGACTGACTGACTGGTGGTAATAATATCTTCCATGCATATCTGTGGTATTTGCATTGAGTCATTTCTGTTGAATGTGTTGTGTTGGGTGTAGACTCGATGAACCAGGTAGGATTCAGGAATCAATCTCTCTCCCTCTCCATCTAGCTACATTACTTCTTAGAATTTTAACCCTCTCCCACTCTATTATGTCATCGTGTGTTAATGCATGCAGTGCAATTGCTGAGTGTTTTTCTAAATTACTTATCTTCTCGGGGTCAACCATTCTTACCTTAGCTAAATTCTTGTATTTCGACAATTTGACTACCCCCCACCTACAAATTTGACCTATGTAGTTGACCTTACTCACAGTCATTGCAGGGTATTTTGTAAATTGTATTATTTTGTTTAATTGGGTGCACCAGATCTTTTAGCCTACAGAGTGAGTTTGTAGGTTTGAATGCCACTCTAATTACTGCTTTATTAAGAATCCTACGTCAGGTCTCAGATGTCCCCTCCTTATATTGTATCTTTTTTATGTTATCATTATTAGTTCCACAATTATTTTTTTATTTATTTTGCTTTTGGCAATGTATAATGGGTCGCTTTGTGATATTAAGACCACAGCTTCGAATTCTGGTGGAGGTTTTAGGTTTGGAAATTGAAGAAAACAATTTTTCTGTACTGTTTGATATGGATCCGTGTCGAAACCTGCATTGAAGTTAATCGATTTACTATTACTATTAAAGGTGTCTTTTGGGAGGGAAACGAATGGAAAAGTTACATTTCTCGATATGTATACAAATGTGGGCATGTAGGACTAGTGGAACATTAAACAGATCGATCCGTAAAAAAGGAAGAGTTTTCGTTTACGACATGTAGTCTGAGGCATGTTTCACATTTATTTATATAAGCGTATGTCTGTAAATGAGAACAAGTTAAATTTAATTGTATTCCTTACTGGCTAAGGGCTAAGGTCCGCAAAATTTCCTCTCACACTAATTATTATTGTTTATTTTAGTTCCTAGAGGAAAATAGGGCTTCAGCTGCACGCCTTCTTTGCGTTCGCTTCTCTGCCAACGTTTTCACGTGGCTCCACACGTCTACTCATATGCTTTCATCTACTCTTCACATGGCCTCTTCCTCCATGTCACCCTTGCACTGAAGACAAACTCGCCGCTTCCCATTCAGGTCCCACTCTAGTGATGGCCTGCACTGCGTGTGATGTCACTCACTTGATGATTTTTTTTCTCAGAGTATGTCGAATCCAACTCCATTTCCTCCTGCATATTTGTTGTACAATTGGTTCCTGCTGGTTTAACTCGTTCATTGCCAGAGATCCCTCCCTGTTTCTGATGTTTACTGGCTGGCCATCTGATCTTGAATAGTAACGTGCTAAGACAGCTGCTGATGAAGTTGTGTAGTTTGTTCAAAGTGCCTTTCTTGACACGGCCCCAAGTGTCTGATTCGTATAGTAAGTAGCACTGACTTCACATTGAAGTTGAAAATCCGGATCTTATTTGTATTTTCATGCTGAGTGCTGTTGATCTCCACACAGACTTGAGAGAAATGAAAGCTTGCTTGTCTTGCTTTCCCGATCCTCGCTTTGATATCCCCATCAGTTCCCTCTTCTGGTAGTTGAGACGATGCTTCCCAGGTAGATGGATAGGTAGGTAAAGGAGGTTGCTCCTCTCAGATTCCTCCCATTAACGATGATTGTTGTCTGTTGTTATTGCTGTTGCTGTCGGCCAGGAATCTTCATCACCTCCTTTTTCTCTATGTTCACCCGAAGTCCTATTTTCTCTGGATGCTTCTATCTCCAACTTGTTGCCTTTCACTTGCATATCTTCCAGTCTGTGGGAAACCAGACCTGTATCATCAGCGAAATCCAGATCCTCTAAGTTTCTTTTTGTGTGGGTCCACCCTATGCCCATTTCTTCACTGCCTGCTACTGCCGTTCGCATTATCCAGTCTACCAAGAAGCACTCACCACAGTAGTAATCACGACAATGTATTTTGTATACCCATGATACTTCGATGTAAATCTTGTTTATTTATCCTTATTCTAGATGAAATATGGTGCAAACGCTACATTATGCTGTGCAAGATCACTAGTCACTACGGACGTGTCATCACCATCTCCGACAACACCAGCACCGGCACCGGCACCAGCAACATTAGGTCGTCGACAAAGTCATCTAATGTGTCATGGAATGCATAATATATGCCAACATTTTTATGATACACCACCAGCTGGTAAATTCGGTACAATGTCTTATATGGTACGTGGTGTTTCCCAACTGCTCACTTGTAATAAATGCTGGAGTCCAGAGAAACGCTTGGCAATTAGTTGTAATGTTCAGTAATACTAGCTAGCCTACAAGTACTCAATTGATTCGATTCGATTCGATTTTCTCTCCCTTACTTAAATATCTAAATACTTTCAATTTTTGCGTATATTTATTTGCATATAAAATTGCCTCTTCAGTTATTATATATTACATAACACATTAAAGCTTCAATGCCGCAATGTATGTACACACGAAATCCCCTTATGATTTTGCTCACCCCTTTTTCTTCTTATCATGAGTACAGGTAAAGAGGCTTTAACTAGTCACAACTATCCCTTTATCCTTTCATCACTGACGGTTAGTAGTTATCCCTCATTAGGCCTCTCCTCTATCTCCTGAAAAACCCATAATCTCAATCATGCCTTTAATATGAATGTGGCTTGGTGTATGGTTGGTTGGCTGTGGCTGTGGCTTATACGCGCTGAAAAAAAGTCATCCTGCCCTCCGCTCATCTTCCTCCCGATTGCTTAATTTGTGTATGTACCTCTTTTGCTTCTTCTCACCCTTCCCCTCTTACCATACTTCATTTTTCACTTCTAGTATCATTTAGTGGCGTTAGCTATTAGTAGTAGTAGTATTTGCATAGATTAGGGACACTCCTTTCACCCCACCCCCCTCTTGTTTTTCCTCCGCGTCATTTTCTTTTTCTATAAAACTACACTTTTGTCATTATTATTATTATTTCCCAATTTGTGTGGGAAATCTTGTAGAGAAAAGAAAAAATAATTTTAAAAAATTAAAACTTTTCCTACTTTTGTTGTTGTTGTTCTTGTCATTAATTCTATTATGCACTGATGAGTAGTAAGTAGTCTGATGATTACTCAACTTCATGCCATTCCTTGTTGTATTCTGAGTGGAGTATAATCAAGAAGTTAACGGGACATATATATATATTATCATTATTATATTATTATTGTTTCCTTTAGTTCCTAGAGGAACATAGGGCTTTATTGCGTTTGGTTCACTGCTAGAGTCTTCACCTGACTCCAAGTCTGCCCACACGCCTTCATCTCCTCTTCACATGACCTCCTCCTCCATGTCACCCCACCCTCGCACTGACGACCGACTCGCCGCTTCCCTTTCGGGTTCCACTCGAGCGATGGCTTGTCTAGTGATGTCACTTGATGGTTTCCTAAGAGTATGGCCAGCCAATCCATCTCCATTTCTTCCTGCTTATTTGTTGCTCAATCGGTTCCTGGTTGGTTCGCTCCCAAAGATCCCTGTTGCTGATCTTTTCTGGCCATCTGATCTTGAGTGGCATTGAGCGAAGACAACTGTTAATGAGGGTTTGTAGTTTGTTTGAGATGCTCTTCATGACGCGCCAATTTGCTGATCCGTACAGTAAGTAGCACTGACTTCACATTGGAGTTGAAAATCCGGATCTTATTTTTGATGCTGAGTGTTGTTGACCTCCACACAGACTTGAGGGTAGTGAAAGCTTGTCTTGCTTTTCCGATTCTTGCTTTGATATCTCCATCAGTTCCGCCTGTAGTTGAAACGATGCTTCCCAGGTTCGTAGGTAGGTAGGTAGGTAAAAGAGGTTGTTTCTTTCAGGTTCCTCCCGTTTATGCTGCCTGATTGTTGTCTGTTGTTGTTGCTGTTGGTGGTGTTTACCAGGAATCTTCACCACCTCTATCTTCTCTATGCTCACCTGAAGTCTTATCTTTGATGCTTGTTCTGCCAACTTGTTGCTTTTCGCTTGCATATCTTCCAGTTTGTGGGAAATCAGACCTATATCATCGGCGAAGTCCAGATCCTCCAAGTTTATCTTTGTGTGGGTCCATTTTATGCCTGTTTCCTCATTGCCCGCTGTTTGTCGCATTATCCAATCTACTGCAATCAGGAAAATCATTGGTGATAGTAGGCAGCCAGCTTGTCTTATTCCTGTCCTCACTTCGGAGGATTCCGTAAGTTTCCCGTTGTGGATTACTTGGCATGCAGCATTGTCGTACAGCTGTTGGATGAGATGTATAATTGTTGGTGGCACCCCGTAATAGCGAAGTAGTTGCCAAAGCACCTCTCGATCGACGCTGTCAAAGGCCTTTGCAAAGTCGATGAAGTTGAGATAGAGAGGTGACTGCTATTCCAGGCTTTGTTCAATGATGATCCGTAATGTGGCGATCTGATCAATGGATGACTTGTTTCTCCTGAATCCAGCCCGTTCCGGTCGAAGTTTTTCATATATACATATATATATAGATATATACATATATATATATATGTATATATATATATATATGGATGAAAAAGTGAGGAAATCTGTGATAACACGAATAATGAAAAAGGAATTTGAATATATTCACGATTCCTTGATGGAGATGGGCTATCCGATTAGTTTCATAAAGAAACATATGAAGACATCGGAGAGAAAACCTGAGACTCTGACTGCACGTATAAAACCTCTATTTATTTAGTTACAATTTAATGGTGACTTATATAGTGAGACTTTGTTCCAGAGACTATCCAGGAGATGTTGTCCAGAAGGACGACGAAAGCTTCGCAACTAAACCAACCAGCTCAGAGAACACTATTAATTGCAAACTATCCAGGAGTATACGTTTTATGCAGCACACCTATGTTTGTCATTCTCTAGCCGACGAATGATTGGGACTCAAACGAAGGATAAGCTAAATAGTTTTGCCACATCTATGCACATTCATCAATTCAACTGCACCTGCGGTGACAGTTATGTTGAACGTACTACTAGACAGCACCTTAGCCAACGTGTTAGTGAACACCTCCCATCGTGGTCTGGCAAGGGACAGACAAAAACAATCCGTAGCTCAATTTTTTCACATTTAATTGAGAGTGGTCATGTAGTGGAGAAAACGAGAGCCTTCAAAGTGATTCATCGTATCCCTCACGGAATCTTTCCAGTAGACTTCGTATTCGTCTAGTGCACACAGCTGAGGCAGGCGATAGGCATTCGAACAATTAAACCTAAATTATGTATTCAAAAAAGTTCGTACAGCCTTTATCCCTCCCTTGGCCTATTAAGACATAACCAACTAATCACTTCTACACCACCCTTTGTTTGTATTTTCAACCCCTTTCTTATCATCCCTTAATCTTATCACATCTTCATTAAAAACGTGTTTCATTTCCTTCCCTTACAATCTAGCATTACTTAATCGGTTCATTTGTTTTTACTAGCCTCTATCGACTACTTCCACCTGAACATTTGTTTGCTTAATCATGCTGTTTTTTTCATTATTCGTGTTATCACAGATTGCCTCACTTTTTCATCCTTATTATTGATAAAACCATTATCATTATTATTACTATCATAACTAATTGCACAATTTATATTCACCATCTTATTATCCTATAGACAAAACACTATGACTGGTTTATATATTTGAATATTTATTTGTAATGTTATGTAGGCATATTAGAATTAATCCTGATGAGATCTAGTTGAAAGCACAATATTGTCCGCTTAAATGTGTTGTTCTAAATAAAACTAACGAAACAATTTTCTTAAGTTAGATTGACCAAGGGTTGCTTATCTTCAAGTATCGGTTTTGTAGGGATTTTGTTTGATTGCTTACAGGATTTCATCATGATCTGACATCAGTTAGAAAACCATTGAAAATCCTTGGAGTACTGGACAGCTGTGTAGTCACACTAGTTTGGGACTCTACAAAAGTATGCACCCACCCACCACAGGAGGTTCGAACCCACGACCTTCTGGTTACAAGGCGAGCTAGCTCGTAAACCATTAAGCCACTGGAACCCGATCCAGTGACACTGACTTGTGTGATCACTGATGAATAGTCCCAAACTGGGACGAAACAGCTCTACAGTACTCCCTGGCAGGTTTTCCAATGATTCTCTAACTGATGTCAGCTCATGATGAATTCCTTTAACCAATCAAACAAAAGCAATCCCTACAAAACCAATATTTGAAAATTGACATGGAATACACATTCATGCAGTTGTGTGGTGCTTCCAAATTCGCTTTCTACGCCATATCTTGATGAGTAGTGTATACGTATAGGCATATTTTTCTGGCAAAATTGTAATAAATTACATTATTTGGAATAAAGCAAGAACCCAGCAGTAGTTTGTGAAGAATAACAAAGTGGTATCATCATTGTTTTTTCGTTCGTCTGGTCCTGCTGCTTTTCCAGTTTTTAGCATCTTCATTGCCTTCAGGATTTCTATTTTCATCGTAGGGTCGGTGTCCACTAATTACACACACACACACACTAATTATAACCTTTGAAATCCTATTGGATGTTCACTGTCTTAATTTATCAGTAACATTAGTGCTTCTCAAGGTCACTTTAAACATACATATATATATATATATACGCAAGTGCTGTCAACACTTCTTTGGACTGTTGTTTTGAGACAGTAAAAAGCTCTCTTACCAATGTCCAGTCTTCTCTTCTGTCTTCGCATGTGGGCTGTCTCATTGTCATTGTTATTGTTGTTGATGTGCGATTTAGACAAATTAGCCAGCGCATTAAAGTTCGTATTCGCTCAAAGTCCACTAGGCCGTAGTTCCGGTCATAACACTTCCATCCAAACCTCTAAGGCCTCGACAATACAAAGTATATGAAGAAATGTAAAGTTTTTGGGAAACTTCTCTTGACTTTGAAAGAATTTCGCTTAGATATGTGTTCCCAGTTGTAGCACTCCTTATTGATTCACTGCGACCTTTCTTTAGACATTTTTAGTATTAATGTTCCCTTAGGTTCCTAGTGGAACATAATAGGGCTTCAACTGCACGTCTCCACTTGCTTCTGTCTTCTGCTGTACTCTTCACCTGCATCCATGTTAGTCCATACTGTTTCAGCTCCTCTTCACACGATCTCCTCCATGTCACCCTTGCACCGACGTCCCACTCGCCACTTCCCTTTCGGGTTCCACTCGAGCGTTGGCCTGACGCGCGATGTCACCCAGTGGCCTCCTCAGCGAGTGTCCAATCCATCTCCACTTTCTCCTGCATATTTGTTGACCGATTGGTTCTTGTTTTGTTTGTTCCCATAGTTTCTTGTTGATGATTCTTTCCGGCCATCTGATCTTCAGTATAGAGTGAAGACAGTTGTTGTTGATAAAGGTCTGCAACAGACTGTTGAAAATATTCTTTGTGACACACTGGCCAAGTTTCTGATCCGTATAGAAGAACTGACTGACTTGACGTTTGTATTGAAAATCCGAATTTTGTTGTTGATGTAGGCTGAGTGACGAAGATTTTCAGATTGGTTTCAGGTTGATGAATGTTTCTATAGACATACAGGATAATATTTTGGGCTCTTTTAGACGACACATGGATTGGACTACCCATATATCTCAGTTTAAAGGAGCAGGTGATTTGGTAAATATACGTAGAAGTGGTCAAATGCTGAAAGCTTAACTTTTTCAGATACTGGAGAACATCGGTCGGTAGGAAAGTACTAAACTCAATGTAGAAGCGAAGAATAGTTGTTTTTATTGGCGCAATCAACATTCTCTTCTCTAGAGCGTCAGCTAGAAGGTCGCCACATTCATGTAAAGCATCTTCTTTAACGCAGAACTGGGGGAGGGGGTGTTTTTTGGTGGTTTTGGGTTCTATGTGTTCATCTATGAAGCGTAGAGTGGGGGCGAGATGAGTTCGCAGTAATCATTTTCAATTTGTGTCTTTCGCAAGAAACTGATCTCTTCAGCTGCCGACTCAGAATTGCAGACTGTTCGGATACTAGTTGCAAAAGACAATACCAAGTTTCACGTCAGATTCTGTCAATGGACCGTTCTACGAAGGCTTTCTAGATATACTTATCTGTTCAATATCCTCTCAGTCTTCTTTGTTAATCGAACGTCCAGAAAGAAGATAGTTTATCAAGTTTCTGCTTCAATTGTAATTTCGATGGCTGGGTGGCAACTATTAATTAAACACTTGTAGGACATTCTATATCATAAGAGAAAAATAGTATCAACGACATACCACCTCTTGTACAGAATAAAGCTATCGGCAGTCGAGTTCAACGGATCAGTTTTGCAAACTTGTCATTGAGTTTCGCTTTTTCTCAATGGTTTTCATATTACTCAAGCATAGTCTAAACTCACTTATCTTCTCCCTAGCCCACCGCACCCTAATTGCAGCTTGATTATCCATCACTGTTTTGTACAGCTATGTGAATAACGTATCATATTTATACATTTATGACCACATTAAAATCTGTCTCGGCCAGCAGTGGACCATAAACCCTTCTGATTGGCTGATGACCGGTCCAAGGTTAAAGAAAGAAAGGAAAGATTATCCAATGAAATTATTTCTAGTCTACAACGTTTTAAACTAAATCGATATTTAAGGAATAAGCACTTCTATCCCTGCAGCCACTGACTTAATTAAATATGTCAATTTTAATTATCAACACAGAAAATAATACTAAATTTGTAACAATAGAAGCAGGTTAAAAAACATTAAATCGTTTTAACGACCCATCATCTACCAAAATAGTTTATTTATGCTGCTACATGAACCATAAATTAGGGTGAAGTTAAAGTATAATAGTCCCAGTCGAGGTCTTTCAAGGTTGACCCTGATGGACCAATCAGATTAATTGGGCACTTCCGAAGGTCATTCCAAATTGAAATCAAACCTGCGTTTATAGATTTGGTTAGTGAATTTCGCGTAGATTGAGCATTTAACTACTGTGTTGAATAATAGATTAACTGCAGTGACTAAGCCTTGAGTTTGTGGAGATAAAGTAATACAACCTTGTTGGAGATTAATACTGTTTTAGATGTAATTCATATCACACAAGGAAATGTGTTCGTGAGAGTAAGTGCAGCATTGTACTTATTCCTTAGGTGTAAATATATCTCTAAAACTTGGGTACTGTGGTAGTTAGTAATTCGAACGGTCAATAATATCCCTGGTTGTAGTAGATATATTCATGGATAGGTGGGAAAACATAACGATTGAAACGTTCACCCCCACCCCACATCGAAGCATGGTGGAGGTACGTAGATAACACATTCACTGTACGTAGTACACAGGATATAGATAGGTTTTTTGAACACATTAACTCCAATGAATTAGAATGATGTCAATGGAGCCTGTAATGATAATTTTGAGCCAATCAGAATAGCAAGCAAAAATTAAAAAATAAAAAATGAAATAAAAACTTAGATGAAATTGAATCACAATCTATTTTTTGTTGTTTAAATTACCCGGTAGTACATTGAACATTTTCAATTCTTCAATTGAAATATTCAAATAATAGTCAATAATTAACGGGAAATCATGAGTAAGCTTTAGAAAATATGGATGATTATTTTAATTATTATTAAGCGTTGTCAATTTTTCCTGTTTAACCAATTGAATAATTTTTTTCATGATGTTGATTTCGAGGATCAAAACTTCTTCATCCTCCCAAAAGCAAAAAATAAAACATTAAAACAATCGAAAAGTCTCCCATTTCCGACAAAATTTTACCCATAATTTTAAATTACCCGGTAATTCATTGAACAAATTCAATCGTTTAATACAATCATATAATAAACAGTCAACAATCGATGGAAAATCACGTGTAATATTAACAAAATATGAATTTTTATCTAGAAAATCAATCGTAGATTCTCTGGCTAAATCGAACTAACGTTGCAGATGATGAAAATGATTTAGGCAAAGATACAAAGCTTGAGTAAATCGTATATATAACTGCTAACATATTTTTTTTATTATTATCAACGGATTCAAACAAATTATAGATTTCTTGAACTAGGATAAGTTCACCATAAGCGCCTGGCACCAAGGGTAATCCAACACGTGATACCCTACATTCAGTACACAATGGATTCCATATAAAATGTAAGTGTAAATTTGTATCCGTTATAGTCATTCCGGAAGATACCACCATAAAAAGGTCAAATAGTGTTTCAAGTGGCTTTGGTAATACTGAATGGTTAGTTGATTGAATTGTAACTCTAAAGTTATTTGTTACCAATAAATGAAGAAACAATAATACAGGATATGGTGGATCATATGGATTACATTGAATAATAAAAGTGACTGGTTCTTTAGGTATTCTCATGGGGAGGAGGCAATTCACCACACCTGTAGAAGGTGTTGTTGTTGTTGTGTTCACCAGTTGATTAGGATAACTTGTAAATAGATCGATTAGACTGTTGAGTTTACCGTCTAGTCGACTTAGTAGGGCCTGGACACTTTGAGCGTTAGTAGTAGTAGTCGTACTAGTAGAAGTACGATCCTCTTTAGGATAATTTAAAAGATTATTCACATGACTACTTAATTCGTGTAATTCATCGACGAAAGACTTCTTCAAAGCAACAGTCTCAGCTGTGCTAACAGTACGAGTGGCGGTGGCAGTCGTATTTGTCGCCGTCGACGTGGTCTGACTACAGTCCTTCTTCTTCTTCGGCTTATAACTTTTGAATATATTCAACAAGAATGTGATATTGTTGTCCAACTGGTGCAATTCATTCAGTATAGTCTGATCACGTTCACTTGTGTCGTGTGCTGCACAGGATATGTTGTTGTTTACAATATTGGAATCATTCGAGTGAGGGAAAAGATTTTTCAATTTATACATACTGTCTGTATGTACAAAATGCGTTAACTTTTGTACTAATGGATCGAGTTTGTACATGATTTCCTGAAATAAACAGAGAACACAATAATTCAAATAATAATAATAATGATACCATACTAGATAAGTTTATTTTAGATGGTTGGAGATAATCGGCCAAAGGAAGCCTTGCTTGACCTAGGTTTCGTGCTAGTTGGCACTCAACAGTCAGACAGTAAGGCGTATCTGCAATCACCTTGAAGGAACTCATGTCCCTTCTGAGATCCGAACCCGCGTCACCCAGTGCTGGCTGCAGTTAGAGACGTTGCCATTGAACTATTCGGGCTGGCTCACAATTGACCTCCTGTAGGACTGTAGTGGATACTTCGATTGGACACTAGTTACTAGTGTCCAGTCAATCTTACTACGGGTTTAGCGAGGTAAAACAGTGCGTCGGTGATCGGGGATCGAATTCCGAACCACATATGGCATGGTTGATGAGTATCCTACCGCTGTGCCACCGACGCACTCCTAAGCATCTTACTTACCATCTATCGTCGAAGACAGTTAACCTCCTCTGGTTTATCACTTTCGACGGCCGTGTTGTTAATCGCGACAGATAGATAGACTGTATGATAAACAGCCAATCAATATTATGTGACCTTTCTTGTCGCGATTATTGGCCAATTTATTGTAACTCTCACCACGTGATGACCTTGAATGTTCTTTTTTGTCTGTCACTTTACTTGTATATACATGTAATTAATTGACTGTTCATTTTGTCCGTACCTTCAATACTGTTCGGTACGTTTTTGCCCTATTTTTGTAATGACAATGGATTTGTACATTTTTCTTGGTGTAATTGTGTGGTTTATTTTATGTTTTAGAAACAGATAAAGTTAAAGTCAAGTTATTCTGTTTTAACTATTGCTAAGCCCAGACTCTGTGTCGTCAGTATTGAGGGAGGACTAAATCTGTAGGATAAAAATAATCCTACAAAGTTTCGAACAGTATCGCAAAGGAAAGTTTCGAACAGTATTACAGACGAAAGTTTCGAACAGCATGTCAGATGAAAGTTATGAAACTATGCCGTCGTTAACTCCACAATTAGGAAAGAGTAATGAAGCTGATTTCCTTGGAAGCAACGAGTATGAATCACGCTATATGATAGAATTGGAGCTAGCGAAATTGCGCATAGTCCAAAAAGAGAAAGAAATGGAATTAGAAAGATTACGGCAAGCTGGTCGCGAATGTTCTTGTCACAATAAATCGCCTTACAAACCTTCTACTTCTCATAAAGTCTCTGTATCTCCTAATGATGAGTCCGCCAGAACCATATCTAAGTTTCTGGACATGCTTAAAGCATATCAATATTTTAAGTGGAATGCCGATGAACTTGAGTGTTGGATCAATGAAAAATTGCAAACATATACAAATGAGAATTTTAAAGAACTCAGTAATCTTCAGCTGAAAAAACAGAAACATCAAGAGTTTGAGTTCGAAGTAACAGTTCATGCTGAAACACTCTCAGCTCTAGATTCTACGGGAGAAGAAATGATTGGTCAGGGACACTACGCAACAGATATTATCAAAAACCGTCTTGATGAATTGCATGCCCTGTGGGAAAGGCTTATGGCTATTTTCAGAGAAAAATCCAGTGTCATTAACCTAAAGCTTAAATTTGTCCAGTTTTTACGCCAAGTCGACGAAATACTTTTCTGGATACGTGAAAACGAAACTTACGTAACATCAGAGGATTTAGGTCAAGACTTGGAAGATGTTGAGACACTTCAAAAGGGGTTTAATGAGTTTACAAAAGATCTCGAGAATCAAGAAAGTCGTGTCGAAGACATCTATCGGAAGGCAGATGAACTTCTAAAAGAGAAATTTCCTGAGGATGCCCTAGTCATAGAAAAGTTCAGACAGGTCCGCGAAGCTCTAGAACGTCTGAAGGATCTGGTTAGAAAACGACAAGAAAAGCTCCTGGAAGCCTATGAGATACAGTGCTTCTTTAGAGACACAGATAAAGCTATATCGTGGGTGAATGAAAAGTCTATTCCCTTATCCATTGAGGACTGTGGTCGTGATCTTGCCTCAGTCCAAGCCTTACAAAGGAAGCACGAAGCATTAGAAAGGGATTTGACTGCCCCAGATGAAAAGATTGTTCGACTTGGAGATGATGCTAAGGCGCTTGCACAGAAGCATCCTGATTCGCAAGACACTATACAAGGCAAGTATGACGAATTAATTACTGCATGGGATAAGCTGAAAAGTCAGGCTGTAGATAGGAGAGGTAAACTGGAAGAGTCATTCAAGATGCATCGCTTTTCGGCTGACTGGAGAGACTTGAGTATCTGGATGAATGACATGAAGACGTTAATGTTGGCGGATGATTTGGCAAAGGATGTAGTTGGTGCTGAAGCCCAAGTAGAGCGACATAAGGAATACACCGCTGAGATAAATTCTCGAGCTGAAAGTTTCGATACATGCATGCAAGAAGGTCAGGCATTACTAAGTGTTGGCCATCCCTGTAATGGAGACATAGCTGCTAAACTTTCCACCCTTGAAAGAGAGAGAGCCTCCTTGATGCAGTTGTGTGAGGAAAGACGTGAACAGCTAGAACAGTGTATGGGCCTTCAGTATTTTTACCGCGACGCTGAACAGTCGGAATCTTGGATTGGTAAGCAAGAGGCCCTCTTAGAAATAAATGATGTGGGAGACTCACTCGATTCTGTCGAAGCACTCATAAGGAAACATGAAGACTTCGAAAAGTCACTTTTAGCACAAGAAGAAAAGATGCGACAACTTGATGAATTCGCTGCAAAATTAATCGAGTCAAACCACTATGCGGCTGCACAGGTTCATGAGATTCAGGAAGGTCTTCAAAGCAGACGAAATGCATTAAAAGAGAAAGCTCAGAACCGCCGTCAGCATCTTCAAGATTCCCACCGTTACCAAATGTTCGATAGAGATGCAGATGAAATGCAGTCATGGATATCAGGAAAACTTAAAAATGCACTTGATGAAAGTTACAAAGAGTCCACGAACTTGCAAACAAAGGTGCAGAAGCATCAGAGTTTTGAGGCAGAAATACAAGCGAACCAGTCCCGCGTTGAAGATATTAAAAAGACAGGTCAGGATTTGTTAAATGCAAACCACTACAACTCACCAGAAATAAAAGTAAAGATTGAACAGTTGGATGAAACTTGGTGTCATCTCGTAAATGCCATGGGAGACAAGAAGAAAAATTTAGATCAAGCAAGTAGTCAACAACAGTTCGCTCGTAACGTAAATGTCGAGTTATGGTTGAATGATGTTGAAGCTCATATAGCCTCAGAGGATGTCGGTCGTGATCTAAACGGTGTGATGAACGCACAAAAGCGGCACAACTTGCTTGAATCTGATGTAGCTGCTCATCGTGAACGTATAGATGCATTCAAAGTCCAGGCTGACAGGTTTGCTGCAGAATGTCATTTCGACGCTCCTATTATCCAAGAAGAACAAAGACAGTTAGCCCAACGTTACCATGACCTGCAAATCCCTCTAAGTCAACGTCGTGAGAAGTTAAGAGATGCCCTTCCCTCGGACACATCTTTGCAGCTTGAATATGGTGACTATAGTGAGCTGATGAAGTTACTAGTCGATTGTTGTAAAGATTTTAAAGCATATTCGCTTAATCAAATCGAATCAGAAATGTGGCATCAGTATGCTGAAAGCTTCACTATTGGCTCATTAGCCACTCACAAAGATGCCTTCAGGTTATGGGTTAAAGATAAGAACCCTGTTGTTGAAAAGTATATTGGTTTTATCGAGTCATACCATGATCCCTTTGGTGTTCGTGCAAGGTTTGAATCATTTGTCGCTGTTGTAAGTAGATCAGTGTCTAAAAAATTCCAACGACTTGTAAATAATGCTGAAAGGTTGTTAACAAGTTTACCCTGGTATTCTACGTTTGAAAAAGTTAATTTCTTACAGCCAGACTTTACTAGTTTGGGTGTAGTAACGTTTGCAGCTTCTGGAATTCCTGTTGGAACTAATATTCCTAACTATGATGATGTACGACAAGTTGATGGATTTAAAAATGTTTCTTCGGATAATGTACTTAGTGTTCGTCTCGAGGATCCTAAACCAGAATTTCTACGTAATGAAGACAAGCAAATGTACGTGGAACATGCTGAAAGTTCCTTTGAATTACAAGTTGGACTTCATGAACTGATGGGATATGGTTCAGGTAAACTGTTTTGGTGTGATTGTTATGGAAAACCAAATTTCCACACGAAAACTACTGAATATGTCATAAATGCAGATCCTGTAAAAGGTTGGTGTGAAGCAGGAGGAACGTATGACAGCAAGTTTTCAAACCTTTCATCTGCAATAGACAAGTGTCAAGCTGAGTGCGTTGGAATTTATTTATCTGATTTACCTCTTGTTCTGGAACAGTTCGGTCTGAATACCAACTGTGCTCAAGGCGATGTCCCAGATGCAGTCTATATTAATTGGTTGTCAATGATTCCTTCAGTTGTAACTTCCATGGGGTTTTATTCTCCAGCAGAAAATGTTGATGACTTTGGATCATGGTGTCAAGCACATTATTGTGCTTGTTATGCGATTCTGCGAGTTTTGATTGAAGCTGACGATTCTATGGGACGTACACATAAAGTAGTCGGTGAGGACGATGCATCTGATTTGTGTATTTCCTTAGTTCCAAAACGGCCTTTAACTGCGGCTCGTTCAGCAATTGGTGAATTCTTAAGAAAGTTACAATATTACAAAGGTAAAACGAATGCTATGTATGGATATGCTTTCTTCCAACACTATAGTCAACTACTTCCAAAATATTTGAATGATTTGCTCTGGCATAAATGGCTACGTGGATATCTTCTGATGCTGCAAACAAGATCTAAGTGGTTGGATATAAAGCACAACCTACAACCTGATGATCTCGTCTTAGTTAACAGTGCTGACACACAGAGAGGTCTCTGGCGAAAGGCTATAGTTAAGCAGATGTACTTTGACCAAGATGGCCACGTCAGGACACTGTGTTTGAAAACTTCAACTCAAGAAGTGGAACAAGATATAAGAAGCGTACGAAAGGTCAACGTGGTGGTCGTTCGCGGGGAGTGTTAATCGCGACAGATAGATAGACTGTATGATAAACAGCCAATCAATATTATGTGACCTTTCTTGTCGCGATTATTGGCCAATTTATTGTAACTCTCACCACGTGATGACCTTGAATGTTCTTTTTTGTCTGTCACTTTACTTGTATATACATGTAATTAATTGACTGTTCATTTTGTCCGTACCTTCAATACTGTTCGGTACGTTTTTGCCCTATTTTTGTAATGACAATGGATTTGTACATTTTTCTTGGTGTAATTGTGTGGTTTATTTTATGTTTTAGAAACAGATAAAGTTAAAGTCAAGTTATTCTGTTTTAACTATTGCTAAGCCCAGACTCTGTGTCGTCAGTATTGAGGGAGGACTAAATCTGTAGGATAAAAATAATCCTACACGTGTATTACAGTCATAAAGAATAAGAAGGACAAAGCAAAATACTACACAGTACAAGAGTTCTATGATCGACGGCTTTAGCCAAACAGAAATTGCACAACCCAATTGGCTTTTAAGACCCAACAGAAAAGAATGTCTTTATTAACAAAACACGTGACGCCAGGAACATCTGATCAATTTTCTGGTGATCTTATATAAGCCTCCGAATGATTACTCATCACTCGCTACTCAATGCTGAAAAACACAGTACACAAGAACTTCCAATACAACAGATGCATTCATTCAGTCGGCTGTCCTGTAGCTCAATTGAGTGTAATAGTAGTAGTAGTCCTAATGAATTTGAAATGACTTACAACAACATTGTTGAAAAAAGAGGCTTAAAGTGAGTTTTCTTTGCAGACTAAAACTACTTGACTCACACTCAACTACATCACACAACATTTGATTTGAAATTGATTTTATTTATATATTATAATAGTATTCATTATTTCTATATCAGTAGACTCAAAAACAACATATATCAATTGGACAACACATCTAGTCATGACAGAGTTGTGGAGTGTGTAACAATACAATTGTACATTCTTATGTTAGATGTTGAAATTGGAAACACTGTACACAATTTTTGTTTGTCTATCTGTCTGTTTTCGACATAGAAGTTTGCACATATGTGCGGCAGTTTAAGTCGCCACATTCCATGTAGCACACAAAGCATGAGAAGAAAGTAAAAAGAAATGCATAATATAGACAGTAAACAGAGGTTTGAGACAAAGGAATAGTGATAACGGAGAACAATATAGTTTCATTGGAAATCATAAGTCACAAGGAGTGGATGCATCTGCACCATTGAGAACGATTCTGAGCCATGTCACCAATTGTTTCCAACCATTGGTTTTTACCTTCCCGAGGACCCCAACCAGACTGGAAGTCTACACCTTCCTACGTGGCTTAAACTAAATTTTGTAGATTTCATTGACTGGTGCCATGTTTTAGTTTGACCACCGCTTTTGCAACCTGAACCTATATCAGCTAATATTGCCCATCGAGGAAGACGATGGCTAGGCATCCCCAACACATGTCCTAACCATCTCAATCGATGTAACTTCACAGCCTCGTCGATTGATTTCCCCTCCTCCTCGCCTAGCACTCGGCCGATGCCTAACCTCAATATTGCTCACCCTATTATACTACTTCACACGGGAGATAGAATGCAGGCACCTATGATCGAAGACAGCTAGCCGGCTTTTTCATGTCTTCCACTTTTAGCGGTCATGTCTCACTCAGCCATAAAGGATGACGGAGCAGACTGCTGAGCAGTACACAATTCCTTTGATCGACGGCCAGCCGCATATCACGGCTACTAAGCCACAGTCGGCGTAAACTGGCATATGCTAAACGAGTCTTCTGCATCCGTGCTGAGATTTCGTCAGCGATCAACCCGCTGGCACTGGCTGATGCAACTTACTAAGTAAGTGAAATGGTCAACACGCTCTACCACTTCACTTTCTATCTCTAAGCTAGGAGTCAATGTAGTCCAGTCCTGTAACATCATCTTACATTTGGAGGGAGCGGGTCAATCGCATGCCAAACATTCAGAGATTGCAGCATATCACCAATAGAATAGTCTGTAACCATTCATTCTTAGCATCCCAAGTCCCGAAAACCCCAAGAAGACATTTCCCTACATGGTTGAAAAACCAAACTAACTCTTTTCTAATCCAACTTCATGTCACCTAGCATTGCACGGCAAAAAAGGCGATGGGGGTATTTCGAACCTCTGACCCACCACCACCTAGTTGAAAGTCGACCACCTAGATCAGTTTATTACGCACAGATGCACATTCATCACAGACAAAAAACAAAGCAGAACAAAAAAACAAAACTTCTGTACACCAGAATGTATATAATTAATTAATTAATTAATTAATTATACAATATCACATTCCAATTGTTACAATGATAACAAAGTAAAACTTTTCCATTTCTGACAAAATTTCAACCACACTTTTAAATTTCCCGGTAGTACATTGAACAAATTCAATTGTTTTAGACACGTATATAAATAACAATCGATAATTGATGGGAAATCACGTGTAATTCGTTGAAAATATGAATGAGCATTGAGTGTAGTTAGGGCTTTTTCTTGTCTACAGGCTTGTACAACAGTCGTCGACGAAGTACACAGTGATGGCGATAATGATGGCAGTAACAACTTTGAATCAATCATTATAATCAGCGATAACAGCTTATCATCAATTTGCGTTGATTGAAACACTCTGTAGATCAATTCGACTAGCATACATTCACCGTATAGCTTTGACGGTGTAATCGATTTGTCAAATGAAGATATAACACAATCAGGACATGATAAATTCCAGATGAAATGTAAGTTTAAATTTGTATCAATAGGAGTCGTCGTCGTCGATGCAGCAGCAGTAGTGGTAGCAGTAGTGTTATTCATCGTTAAAAGTCCAAGGAATTTCTCCAGTGACTGAGGTAATTCCTTCATGACTGTTGAATGTTTAAATGATTTAATTGTTACTCTGTAATGATTAGTAATCAATAAATGACATAACAGTAGTACAGATAATGGAGGATTATTTGGATTACATTGAATAATAAAAGTGACTGGTTCCTTGGGTATTCTCATGGGGAGGAGGCAATTCATCATCGCCGCACTTGTAGAAGGTGTTGTTGTTGTTCTGTTCACCAGTTGATTAGGATAACTTGTAAATAGATCGATTAGACTGTTGAGTTCACCGTCTAGTCGACTTAGTAGGGCCTGCACACTTTGAGCGTTAGTATTAGCAGTAGTAGGATCCGCTTTAGGATAATTTAAAAGATTATTCACATGACTACTTAATTCGTGTAATTCATCGACGAAAGACTTCTTCAAAGCAGCAGTCTCAGCTGTGCTAATAGTACGGGTGGCGGTGGGAGTGGTGTTGGTCGTGGCAGCCGTATTTGTCGGTTTAACAGTGGTAGTAGCAGTGTTCGTCGTCGACGTCTGACCACAATTCTTCCTCTTCTTTGGCTTATAACTTTTGAATATATTCAACAAGAATGTGATATTGTTGTCCAACTGGTGCAATTCATTCAGTATAGTCTGATCACGTTCACTTGTGTCGTTTGCTACACAGGATATGTTGTTCTTTATAATATTGGAATCATTGGAGTGAGGGAATAGATTTTTCAATTTATACATACTGTCTGTATGTACAAAATGCGTTAACTTTTCTACTAATGGATCGAGTTTGTACATGATTTCCTGAAAAATAAACAGAGAACACAATAATTCAAATAATAATAATAGCGTACTAGATAAGTTTATTTTAGATGGTTGGAGGTAATCGACCATAGGAAGCCTTGGACCTAGGAACTAGATCATATCTTCACTCTGCATAGATCATATCTTCACTCTCCGACAGATCCTAGAACATAGACACACTTTTAGGCGTCCAACAATTGCCATATTTTTTGACTTGAAGGCGGCCTTCGACTCCGTGGATCGAGAGGTACTATGGCAATGTTTGACTGTGAAGGGAGTGCCAAGAAAGTACATTGCACTAATCAAGTCACTTTACTCAAACTCACGTAGCCATGTAAGGGCCTATGAGGAATTGTCATCTGAATTGATAACAACCAGTGGTGTCCGTCAAGGATGTCCACTTTCCCCTTTTCTGTTTAACTTCATCATAGATATGCTAGTGGAGGTATCCTTAACTGAACTTCACGACTTAGGAATCGACTTGTTACCAGGGTATAGTATTATGGACTTAGAATATGCAGATGACATAGTCCTGTTAGGGGAGGATGCTGACAAAATGCAGAGTCTTCTGAACACCTTGAGCAGCAATCTTCGTATGTTTGGCATGCGATTCGCCCCTGTGAAATGTAAGATGCTGCTACAGGACTGGACTACGTCAACTCCTAGCTTAGTGATAGGGAGTGAAGTGATAGAACATGTTGACCACTTCACCTATTTGGGAAGTTGTATCAGCACCAACGGACTGATTGGTGACGAAATCTCAGCACGGATCCAAAAAGCTCGGGCTGCTTTCGCCAACTTACAACATCTCTGGTGTAGGCGTGACATCCGGCTATCAACCAAGGGACGTGTGTACTGCTCAGCAGTTCGCTCAGTCCTTCTCTATGGTGGTGAGACGTGACCATTGAGAGCGGAAGACATGAAAAGATTGTCTGTTTTTGACCACAGATGTTTACCATCTCTTTCTCGCGTTAGGTGGTATAATAAGGTAAGTAATGTTGACGTTAGGCGTAGAGTGTTGGGCAAAGAGGGAAAATCAATCGAAGAGGCTATGAAGTTACGTAGATTGAGATGGTTAGGTTACGTGCTGCGCCTGCCTAACCATCGCCTCCCCCGACGGACGGGCATTACTAGCTGATATAGGTGCAGGTTGGAAAAGAGTAAGTGGTGGCCAAACAAAAACATGGCCTCATCAATCCATGAAATCCTTGACAGTGAAACTGAGTCAGGTAGGGAGATGCAGACTTCCGGGTTGGGTCCCGCCCTCGGGACTCTAAGAATCAATGGCTGGAGACAATAGGTGTCATGGCTCAAAATGATCGTTGTCAATGGCTTACGCAGATGTATTCAGTCTCTTTAACCTTCATATTCCTTTCTACCATTACTCATTCTGTTTCACTCTTATACTTGTCAAAACTCTATTGATTCTCTTCTCTCATTTTCCTGTTTACCTTTGTGTGCTATTTGGAACGTGGCAACTGGAACTGGTGCACTTCGGTGCCAAGTTCTATGTTGAATCCCGCCAGCCAGCCAGGTTTCGTGTTAGTTGGCACTCAACAGTCAACCAGTAAGGCGTATCTGCAATCACCCTGAAGGAACTCATGTCCCTTCTATGATTCGAACCCGCGTCATCCAGTGCTGGCTGCAGTTAGAGACGTTACCACTGAGCTATTCGGGCTGGCTCCCAGTTGACACTAGTTACTAGTGTCCAGTCAATCTTACTACGGGTCTGTCGAGGTAAAGGTGTGCGTTGGTGACCGGGAATCGAACTCCGGACCACATATGGCATGGTTGGCGAGTATCCTACCGCTGTGCCACCGACGCACTCCTAACCATCTTACTTACTTAAAATAGAAGTTACAGCGTAACTATCTATCGTCGAAGACAGTTAACCTCTTCTTGTCTATCATTTTCGACGGCCGTGTATTACAGTCATAAAGAATAAGAAGGACAAAGCGAAATGCTACACACTACAGAAGTTCCATGATCGACAGCTTTAACCAAACAGAAATTATACAACCTGCTTGGCTCTCAAGACCCAACAGAAAAAAAATGTCTTTGTTAATAAAACATGTGGTGCCAAGAACATCTGATAGATTTTTTGGTGATCTTATATAAGCCTCCGAATGATTTATCACTTCTGCCCTGGCCATTGAGAGTGGAAGACATGAAAAGACTAGCTGTTTTCGATCATAGGTGCCTGCGCTCTATCTCCCGTATGAAGTGGTATTGTGGTGGGAGATGGTTCTAGCCAAATTGGTTGACAGTAATTGAGGTCAAAGGTCGAGATCGACAGGCGGATACAGTTAACATATAGGTGAACTGACAGAGGCACAAGAGACGCAAGGTTAACTTTGTATGAGAAACAACCAATCAACAGACTGTATTTTCTACTAACATTAGCCTACAATAATGTACATCAAAATCTATAAATACGTGTTGTTTTCCGTAATAAACGTTCTGTTGCCTGGCCCTTGTCTTCTGTTGTTACAGTATAATAAGGTGAGGAATACTGAGGTTAGGCCTCGGTCGAGTGCTAGGTGAGGAGGGGAAATCACTATACGAGGCTGTGAAATTACATCGACTGAGATGGTTAAGACATGTGTTACGTATGCCTAGTCATCGCCTTCCTCGACAGTGGGCAATGTTAGCTGGCTGACATAGGGTCAGGCTGGAAAAGAGCTAGCGGCGGTCAAACGAAAACATGGCCTTATCAGTCAATGAAATCTACAACAGTTAGTCTAAGCCACGTAGGAAGGTGTACACTGCCTTCCCGGTTAGGTTCCTCGGGACGGTAAAAACGAATGATGGCTAGAGACAGTGACATGGCTCAAAGTGATCGTTCTCAATGGCTGGTGGAGATGCATCCACTCCTTGTGACTTAAAATTTCCAATGAAACTATATTGTTCTTCGTTATTACTATTCCTTTGTCTCACACCTCTGTTTACTGTCTCGATTATGCATTTTTTCTACTTCCTTCTCTTGATTTGTGTGCTACATGGAGTGGAGTGTGGTGACTTGAACTGTTGCATATCGGTGCAAAGTTCTATGTTGAAAACACAGACAGACAGTCCAAATGATTACTCATCACTCACTTATCAATGCTGAAAAACACAGTACACAAGAACTTCCAATACAACAGATCTTTTCATTCAGTCGGCTGTCCTGTAGCTCAATTGAGTGTAGTAGTAGTAGTAGTCCTAATGAATTTGAAATGACTTACAATAACAATGCTGAAAAAAGAGGCTTAAAGTGAGTTTTCTTTGCAAACTTAAGCTACTTCACTCACACTCAACTACATCACACAACATGTGATTTGAAATTGATTTTATTTATATATTATAGTAGTATTCACTATTTCTATATCAGTAGACGCGAAAACAACATCGATCAACTGGACAACACATCTAGTCACGACAGAGTTGTGGAGTGTGTAACAATACAATTGTACATTCTTATGTTAGATGTTGAAATTAGAAACACTGTACACAATTTTTGCTTAAAACGATTCATGTTGGAATAAAGATAACTTCAGAGTACAATCTAAAAGAGTGTGTGTTGCGCTCAACGCTCCGCCTTCTCACTAGTATATACTGTCTACTTGTTTCACTACGAACCGTGTTGTATACTCTGGATTTTGCAGGAACTTCTTATCCTCATCCAAAGACTATTCTACAAACGATCTATCTGTCTGTCTGGTTTCAACATAGAACTTTGCACAGATGTGCACCAGTTTGAGTCGCCACACTCCCTCCATGTAACGCACAAAGCAAGAGAAGAAAGTAAAAAAGAAACGCAAAATAGAGACGGTGAACAGAGATATGAGGCAAAAAGAATAGTATTACCAAAGAAACATATAGTTTTATTGGAAATCATAAGTCACAAGGAGTGGATGCTTCTGCACCGGCCATTGAGAAAGATCACTTTGAACCATATCACCAGTTGTCTCTGGCCATCATTGGTTTCTCCCGTCCCGAGGACCCTAACCAGTCAGTCAGGAAGTCTACACTTCCCTCAAAATCGTTGTCAATGGCTTACGCAGATGTATTCAGTCTCTGTAAACTTTCATATTCCTTTCTACCATTACTCATTCTGTTTCACTCTTATACTTGTCAAAACTCTATTGATTCTCTTCATTCATCTTCTTGTCTACCTTTGTGTGCTATTTGGAACGTGGCAACTCGAACTTCTGCATTGATATAAGAATAAAACTTGGGCACTGTGGTAGAGTGTAATTCCATTATAGGTAAATTTTATTTTGATAGAGTCTCACAGTGTTATACAGTAACATTTACTGATAAATGTTACTGTATAACACTGTGAGACTCTATCAAAATAAAATTTACCCATAATCGAACTTCTGCACTTCAGTGATAAGTTCTACGTTGAATCCAGCCAGCCAGCTCTACTTCCCTTCGTGACTTCAACTAACTGTTGTGGATTTCATTGACTGATAAGGCCATGTTTTGGTTTGACCACCACTCTCTTTTTTCCAACATGATCCTATATCAGTCAGCTAACATTGACCGTCGAAGAAAGCAATAGCTAGGCATCCCAACACATGTCCTAACCATCTAAATCGATGTGACTTCACAGCCTCGTCTATTGATTTCCTAGCACTCGACGCTTAACTTCAATATTGCTTATCTTATTATACCATTTTACACGGGAGATAGAACGCAGACACCTATGATCAAAGACAGATAGACGGTCTTTTCATGTCTTCCATTTTCAGCGGTCATGTTTCACTCAGCCATAAAGGAGGACGGAGTGGACTACTGAGCGATACACACGTCCTTTGGTCGATAGCCGGATATCACAGCTACTAAGCCACAGTCGGCGTAAACTGGCATATGCGAAACGAGCCTTCTGTATGCGTGTTGAGATTTCGTCAACGATCAACCCGCTGGCGTTGGCTGATGCAAATTCCCAAATAAGTGAAGTGGTCAACACGCTCTACCACTTCACTCCCTATTTCTAAGCTAGGAGTCAA